TTCCCCTCTGTGTTCCCCAGGTACATGTGTGTAATCTGTGTGTTCCCCTCTGTGTTCCCCAGGTACATGTGTGTAATCTGTGTGTTCCCCTCTGTGTTCCCCAGGTACATGTGTGTAATCTGTGTGTTCCCAGGTACATGTTTGTAATCTGTGTGTTCCCAGGTACATGTGTGTAATCTGTGTGTTCCCAGGTACATGTGTGTAAACTGTGTATTCCCCAGGTACATGTGTGTAATCTATGTGTTCCCAGGTACATGTGTGTAATCTGTGTATTCCCCAGGTACATGTGTGTAATCTGTGTGTTCCCAGGTACATGTGTGTAATCTGTGTGTTCCCCAGGTACATGTGTGTAATCTGTGTGTTTCCCTCTGTGTGTTCCCCAGGTACATGTGTGTAATCTGTGTGTTTCCCTCTGTGTGTTCCCCAGGTGGTGTTCTTCATGTACCTGTGGAGCATCGAGATGGACGCCGTGCTCACCTCCATGTCGTGTTTCCGCCTGCTGTGCGAGGAGGCCGACATCCGCTGCGGGGCCGACGAGATGGCCGTCACGCAGCTCCTGCCCAACTACCCCGTGTACGCGGAACTGGCCGCGGCTAGCACCGTGCTCACCACAGGTAGGTCATGACGCGTGTGTTGTGACCTCAGTGCTTTCTTTGGGGCTCTCGTGGCATAGTTCTTAACAAAGAGTGAGCTAAAGAAATAGTCACATTTTCAATGCTAAAAAAAATATGGAGATAGGACAAGAAAACACTGAGGTCGTGATGTGTTGTGACAGTGACTAGGTGTGTTGTGGTGTGAGTGAAGACTTGGTGAGTGGGTGGTTGGCGGGTGCTCTGGTGTGGTTTGCTTCTTCTTTCCTGTCAAACATCTTTTGTCCTTATCTTCCCTTCTTCTTTTTTATGTATGTTACTCTCTTGTAACACCTCTAATCTTATGGCGCTCATATGACCTTATGCAGTTGCGAACGCCATAAAACCTTTACTAAAACTAAAACAAAATTTTTTTTTTCTCCTCTCAGGTCGTGCTGCTCTACAGAAAAGAATCATGGCCCTGTTGAGGAAAATTGACCAGTCCACTCAGGGAAACTCACAGGTCAGTCGTGTGTGTGCTAGCAATGGACGGACACTTCAATGTGGGTGGTTGGCAAGTGCTCTGGTGTGGTTTGCTCCTTTCCTATCAAACGCCTATCGTCCTGATCTCACCTTCTTTTTTTATATTTGTTAGTCTCTTTTAAAACATTTAATCTTCGGTACTTATATGACCTTATAGTTTTGCAAGTGTCGTCAGCTTAACTCTCACAGTACCGAAGGCTCATTTAGTGAAAAACCCTCAAGTACCGCACCAGTCTAAAATCTGGAAAATTTCCTTGTGATCTCTGATAATCTTATTGTGCTGCAAGTGCTGAAAAACTCTTATTACTATCAAAAGTTTTAGCTGCCTATATATTCGTATATAATACTATGTGCATAGACAAAAAAGAGTTCGTGGGTGGTTGGCGGGTGCTCTAGTGTGGTTTGCAAGTGCCGTAAAACTCATACTAAATAAGAAAAACTAGAAACAGCACTTGAATGGCGTTTTGCTTCTTTTCTTTGTATGTCACAATCTCGCAACACCTCTAATCTTCTACAAAGTATATGGCCTAATTGTGTTTTAAAACTTTAAATGAAACTAAGACTGACCACTTAAACCGA